CCCTCATTTCGCAAGCAAAAACAGCTTTGTCTTTGAGCCTGTTGTACAGCCCCCGTCCACCTAGCTGGTCTTGCTGCAGGACCCACTGGTGGAACTTGCCGAGACTGGCATGGAGGACAGACCTCTGGGCTCTGACAGAATTGGAGTAGGCCTGCCTACTGAGGTCCTTGATGGAGTCATCACTGAGCTCCCAAATCACCCTGAGACTTCGGCACCACCTGGTGCGCACAGGAGGAGGGAGACAGAGACAGGAACAGAGACCGACAAGTCCCTCAAGCGCTCGCCTAACCTACTGGCCTTACTAGAGCCCCTCTGGTCCAGGAGGCCCACAAGGTCCTTCAACAGGAAATCCACCGTGGCCCACCAGTGCGCCACAGGGTCCCTAGACGAGACAAAGTGGGCTCCTTGGGCCTCGGGTCTCCTAGTGAGCCCTCCAAGGGAACCTCTACCTCGGTACTTATTTTGATCACTCGGATGTATCTCCAACATCGCGCAAAAAAAAACTCAAACTTATCAGTCCAGTCCGCGAAGGACCTGCCACCAGAAAGCGACGCCTCGGGATCCAACCGAAACGCGTTCGAATCCACTATGTACTTCGGCGGCGTGCCCTGTGGCCGACTGGCCGACAGAGCGTGCCAGAGCCTGTCTTGGGCTTCTGGCGCCGTCTCGAGGAGCAGCTGCGAGACGCTCTCTCCCTGCGCTGCTGGAGGGGCGGGGTCTGGAGGGCCTCCTGCACCCGTCGCCGCACCTCCTGGGGGGGCGGGGTCTGCTGGTCCACCAGCACCCATCGCCGCGCCCCCCTGCGCCCTCGGCGCCACCCTGGCCGAACTGGCCGTCGTCGTCGCCAGTCGACTCACCGTCATCCTCCTGCTGCGGGTCATCCTCTGGCTCCAGGCCCCAATCCTGCGCCCCCAAGTACTGCAAGGGAGGCGGCATCTTGAACCTGATCTGCCTCCGCGCTCTCAACGGAGGACGTGGTAGTTCTGGCTCTGGCTTAGCGGCGGCCTCATTGAGATGGCGCAGCAGGCGCTGTCGAGACCTCTTACTGGTCGGATCCGCTTGCTTCTTGGGCCTCGGTGGGTACTGACATCTCTGCGGCATACTGAGTACCCATCTCTGAGCCTTCTCTAACCTCAGCTGCAACTTCGTCAAGATGCCGAAGTGCGACTTACCTGCCCCAAAGCATGCTTCATCATCCACCGTCATGGAGCAGACGAACCGAACCATCGAGCGCGACAGAACTGCGAAATCAATCATCTTCTTTTGGCCAGCCGTGCATGTGTATTCTGCACCCGAGGGGACACGAATCAACCCGTCCACCAACGATGGCCATCCTGACTTCTGCATCTCGATCGGGGTCGCGTTGAAGTCCCCAATGACCAGCCAAGGCGTCTTGATAGACTGCAACAGCGTACCTAACTGGATCAGCTTTGACACGTTCAAGCCTGTGATGCCCACATCCGCAGTCAAGTAGATGCCGAAGACAGAAATAGACTGGCCACCAATCTTGAGCTGACATCCTACAGCGTCTCTGAAATCAATCCCCGACACGGTGGTATCTGGCTCCTGGATCTGTCGGAGCTCCATCTGCATATGTCTGTCGGTCGCTAGGTGGCGAAAACTCTGAAACTGAAATCTCTTCTTGACTCCCATCGAGATCCCACCAGCCTTGACCGTCGCCTTCAACTGGTAGGATGGAGCCACCACTGGTTGGTATCCTCTAAAGCTCCAAGCATGGAGCAACTCTGTACACATATCTGGGAGAACGTGCAACTCGGGCAGAATGACTATGTCGTACAAGCCCTCAGCAAGAAGGCATTTGGACGAATACCCCCAGCCCGAGAGGTTCCTCACATACAGAGTGTGCGCGTCACCCGCACGGTGGCTCCCCCTCCGTCTTCTGCTCGCTCAGGTTGCGGACGAGGGCACCAACCTCACCCTGCAAGCGGTCAGACGCGGCCTTGAGCGAATGCTCATCCCCAGGAGCTGGCGCGGCGCGAGGGGCGGGGTCTGCTGCCGAGCCACGGGCAGCACCCGTCGCCGCTCCTCGCGCAGGCGCCTCAGGGGCTGCGTCGGCACCTCCACGGGGCGCGCTGGACGCTGCTCCCTGGCTCGCTGGTTCGGCCCCAACCTGAGCCTCACCCAGGTTGCCTTTCCTCTTCTTGCGGGCTCTCTCGAGGACAGCTGAGACCTTGGCCTTCTGATCCTGCAACTTCTCATTGATTTGACCATACGTGTCTTGCACCGCTTTGTACAACCAGACCTGGAGCTCACCCTTCGTCTTCTCCTAGATGTCATGGTCCGATTGCGTGAGGCCCAACCCGTCCAGGTCGACTCCCAGACTGATCTCCAGCTCCAGGTTGCCGTCGAGCACCTCTTGGATGTCCAGGACAGCACCCCGTGGCACGGGCAGTTCCTCAGGTGGCAAGAACTCTTTAGCCTTCGCGATCTCTTCACGTTCAGCTTCCATAACCTCAGTCGTGCATGCGCGAAGCTTCTCCGTGCGCCGCTCCAACTCCTGCTTGGCTCTCTTCCACTGCTCTTTGGCCGCCTCCATGGCCTTGCGTCCTCGCTGCAAGCGGGCCGCCGCCATCTGGAGGGCCTGCCCTGGCGGCCGTGGCTTGGTCTCGGGGGGAGGACCTCGCAGGGTGGCTACCAAGGAGTCGACAGCGCGCTCGGTGTCCCCCCCCCCCTCCCAGTTTGGCCGCCAAGGCACAGAGTTCCTGCGCAGCGTCACCATCAGCAGTAGCAGCACCCCCCTGACGGCCATGGCCAGGCCCACGCGACTTCTGGAACTTTGCGCCACACTCGCACGTCCAGTTCTTCGCCTTGAGCCTGTCCTGGAAGAGCCACCGACCACACGAGGAACACTCAACTTGGGCTCGGTACTGGCGTTTCCCCCAAGTGTTCGCTCCCCACGACGGCGGCGGCGGCATAGATCCAGGCAGTGGAGGATAGACGATCGGATTCCACCATTTTCCGTAGCGTGAGGCAGGCTGCTGCCTCCATGGCGGTCGCCGAGAGCCATCTGGCGCCATCGACAACCGTCCGTGTTCGTGAAACTCGATGCTGTGTCGCCTGGAGGCTCACACAGCGGTGCGCTGAAACCCTTGGGAACTAGCCGCGGACTAGCGGTATCCACTCGTTTCCCAGGGAAACTCAAAACCTTGAGCCAAAATGGCTACGGAGGAGCCCTCTTGGGCCCCTGGTTGGCCCTAAGAGGGCCCCAAGAGGGCCCCAAGAGGGCTCCAAGATGGCCCCAGGAATTATGTACTAACCCAGCGGCCGCTGGTACATAACTCCTGAACCCTCTTGGGGCCCTCTTGGGCCCCTTGTTGGCCTATAGATGGCTCCCAGAGGGCCCTAAGAGGGCTCCAAGACGGGCTCAAGGGGGGCCCAAGAGAGGCCTCAGAAACCGCTAGTAGGTGTCATCGAACAGCGCGTCCGGATGAGACCTCTCAGTGGTCTCTGGGGCGCGTCTTGGAGCCCTATTGGGGCCCTCTGGAGCCCCCTGGGTGCTCCCTAAAAGGTTCCAAGGGACATCCGAGGGGGTGGAGGGGGAGGTGGAGGGGGAGTTGGAGGGGGAGTGGATGGGGAGGTGGCGGAGGGGCGGAGGGGGGTGGTGGAGGGGGAGGTGGAGGGGGGGTGGGGGGGTTGGTGGAGAGGGGGGGGAGAGGGGAGGGAGAGGGGAGGGAGAGGGAGAGGGGTTTGATTAGGAAACTGAAAGAGGTTTGACGACCACGACGACGACGACAACGACGACGACGACGACGACGACGACGACGACGACAACGACGACCACGATGACGAGTGGGCGCTTTGGAGTTCTCGTGGGCCGTCTTGGAGGCGCCTTGGGGGCCTCTTGGACCGTCTGGAGGCCGTCATGGGGCCATCTTGGAGGTCTCTTGGGCGCTCTTGGGGCCATCTTGGGGATCTCTTCGGCGGCATTGGGCCGTCGGCAAGCCGAAAACGTCAAAATCCGTCAAGAGCCCACGGGAAATCACCTGTCTTTGCCTCTTCGGGCCTTCCTGCAGGTCCCCTTGGAGGCTTCTTGGACTGCATTAAAAGCCTCTTGGGGGCTTTGGGGCCGTCGTGGGCCATTTTGCGGCCATCTTGGAACGCCGGCGAATCACCGACGCCCCCAGCCTTTTTGAGAAGCGCCTATGTGGCCAAACGTTGGGCCCCAGCTTGGCCAAGCTATCTGATTATGCATTCCCCCAGCCGCTCCGGAAACTCTTCGGGGAACACTTGGGGGAGGCTGAGGGGGAGGATCAGGAGAGGGAGGAGGAAGAGGAGGAGGAGGAGGAGGAGGAGGAGGAGGAGGAGGGGAGGAGGAGGAGGAGGAGGAGGAGGCCTCTTGGGAGCCTCTTGGGGCACTCTTGTGGGGCCTCATGGGGGCTTCCCGGGGGCCTCTTGGAAGCGTTTTGGGGGCCTCCTTAGGCCTCGTGAGAGCCTCTCTTTGGCCGTCTTAAAAGCGTTCCTGGCCCGTCTGACGGGTCTGACGCCGTCGGAAGCCGTCTTGGGGGCCTCTCTGAACCGATGTGGGGTCCTTTTGAGGCGCTTCAGGGCCGTCTTGGAGGCCATCTTGGGCGTCTTAGAGGCCTCTTGGGGAGGATGAGGAGGAGGAGGAGGAGGAGGAGGAGGAGGAGGAGGAGGAGGAGGAGGAAGAGGAAGAAAAGGACTGGGAAAAGCAGGCGAAGAGGGAGTAGGAAGAGAAACAGGGAGGAGGACCAGGAGAAGGAGGCAGGGGGTAGGAGCGAGGAGACATTGTCGGACAACGAGTCGGAGCAACCCCCAACCCCCAGAGTCTGGGGGCGCCCCCAGAGTCTGAACAGCACCTTTTTTCAGATTGCTTGAATTGCGCTGGTTTTGCATCCTGGCGCGGCCGATCCGATTCCATTCTGGCTCCGTGCCGAAGCTGTCTGGTCCGATGCGCACTTCAGTCCGATCCGGCCTCCCGATTCGATGCTGACCGATCCTGCCCCTGGTGCCCCTCGCAGGTCTGCCCGCAGTGCGGGCTCTGCGAGCTGCCGGTCTGCCTCGGCTTCAGGGCCACGTGGGACGCCGGGTACGGAGGCTGCGCCACCTACAATCTCGCGTACGGCGTGACGGAAGAGAACGAGGAAGGCTCGGGGGCGCGCCCGGGGGGGAGGGGCAGAGGGGTCGGGCCCCTTCTCGAGCATCTTGAGCCCAGCATGTAGGCCTAAGCCTTCGGAGGTCCGCGCTGATTTTTCAACAGCCAATGCGGATCGTCATAGCTTCCGCATCAGAACGCAAGACTGAAGCACTGACGGATCCAACTCATTCTCGATTCATTGGCATCAAACTCATGCGAAGCAGCATGCTGTACCCCCTCCTGGCGCGCGGAGCGCGCCACGGGCAGCGCCCGAGGCGCCGCCGGAGGGCTCCAATGCCGATCCAAGAAATCCGCGCGGACTTCCGAAAATCAATGTTTATGTAATTGTTTGTTCCTCGATTATGAGAAGGCTCAGAAGGTCCCAAGTCTTCTGAGCCCCGCCGCCTTCTGCAAAGTCCTGCCCCCTCTCGCTTCCTTTCCTCGGCGCGCCGCCGGGAAGGCGAAAGCAACAACGCCAACGCCAGTTGCTACAGACATATTTCTGCGGTCGACGGGCTGAGTGCCGCGCAGGTGTGCTCAGAGTGCGGGGCGTGCGTGGATGGGGCGAGCGTCGAAGCTCCGTCGGGGCACTGGTGGCTGTCGGTAACCGGGCCCTGCGCCGTCACCTCGGGCTCCTGCGTGCGGAGCCCGAACTACCCGCGCGAGTATTCGGTCTCCGAGTATTGCGTCATCCATGTGAATCCAGACGTGTCGCAATTTGTCGTCGCGTCGAGCTTTGCTACCGAGTTGGAGCGCGATCTGCTGTATGTCAACGGGGCCCAGTTCTCGGGGTCTGCGGGCCCCGCCAGAGTGATCCATTGGGCCTGCGTCGTTCCGCCGACCCCCAGAGGAGGGAGCTCGCGACGCTGGTTGTGGTGAGCTCGAGCAGCCCGGCCCCCGCAGTGACCACCGCGAGGGTCCTCGCAGCCGCTCGGTGGCCCCCGGATGGCGTCTTCGGGCCATCCTGGATGAATTTTGGACACGGTCGGGGTCATTTTCGGACTCTTGGTATCCTTTGAGGGTCGCTGGGGCTCGTCAGGGGGTGTCCCGACAGAAAAGGGTGGGCCTTTAGTGATCGTCTGCCCTTTGGACTTCTCCTGGGAGCTCTTGGAGCTCGAAGCTCTCGTGGGGCTGTCGGGGTGCTCTTGGCTGCCGTTGCGGGTTTCCTTGGGCCCTTCGTGGCGCTTCTCAGGGCGCTCTTGGGGCATCTTGGGGCCATCCATAATGGAGCCTCGCAGGCCCGTCGGAAGCGAAAAGGCGATACGGGATAGTCTTTGAGAATTATCCCAGTGCGACCCTACCTAGGAGTTGGAGCATTCAGGAACGCAACATCTACATCTACACCGACAGCTACATTTACATCTACACCTGCATCTACATCTACATCAACATCAACAGCGAGACTCACATCTACATCTACACCTACATCTACACCTACATCTACACCTACATCTACATCTACATCTACATATACATCAATATCTACATCTGCATCCTGCATCTGCATCTGCATTTACATTTACATCTACATCTACATCTACGTCTACATCTACATCTACATCTACACCTACACCTACACCTACATCCACATCTACACCTACACCTACATCTACATCTACATCTACACGGTCGCATTTGTTTTGCTGTTGCTTTGCATTGCTTTTGTTTTGCATTGCCTTTGCTTTGCTCGTGCCTTTGCTGCTGCCTTTGCCTTTGCTTTTGCTGTTGCGTTTGCTTTGCTATGCTATGCTAGGCTATGCTATGTTATGAGTTGCTGCGCTAGGCTATGCTGTGCTGCGCTGCGCTGCGCTATGTTATGCCATGGTGTGCTATGCTGCGCTATGTTATGCTATGCTAGACTATGATGTGATATGCTATGCTGCGCTATGCTATGCTATGCTATGCTATTCTGCGCTATGCTATACTATGCTGTGCTGTGCTATGCTGTGCTGCGCTATGCTATGCCATGTTGTGCTGCGCTGTGCTATGCTAGGCAATGTTATGCAATGATATGTTATACTATGCCATACTATGCGATGTTATGCGGGGCTATGCTATGCTATGCGATACTATGCTATGATATGCTGAGTTATGCTATGCTATGCTAGCTTGGCTGTCCTATGCTATGCTATGCTGTGCTAATGCTGCGCTGCGCTATGCTGCGCTAAGCTAAGCTAGGGTAAGCTATGCTAAGCTAAGCTAAGCTAGGCTAGGCTACGCTAAGCCAAATAAGCTACGCTAAGCCAGGCTAAGGTAAGCTAAACCAAGCTAAGCTAAGTTAAGCTAAAGCTAAGCTAAGCTAGGCAAGGCGAAGCTAAGCTACGCTAGGCTAGGCTAAGGTAAGCTAAGATGAGAGGAGCTAAGCTTAGCTTAGCTAAGCTAAGCTAACCTAAGCTGGGTGAACCCAGGTGGCGCAACTGGGGGAATCGCGGTGCGGAGACCGGGGGAACCGCCCGGGGCGAGGAACATTGCCCGGCCCCTTTAAGAACGAGGGTAAGAACCCTCCAGGCAGAGCCTAGGTAGCCCAGATCATGCGCGACCGATTTTTTTCGGTAGCGAAAAGCGTTATCGGTCTTTCCGCCGCGACCGAATTTTTCGGTAACCGTCACTGGTCGCGACCAGTAATGGTCGGTAACGTTTTTCGGTCGCGACCGAAAAATTTTCGGTAACGGTCGGTAGCGCTAGTGCAGGTTTCAAACCTGACGACAGGATTTTGTCAGATCTCACATGTGGGATGATGATAACGAAGATGATATGACGATGGTGATGATGATGCTGATGATGACGATGCTGATGATGGTGGTGATGACGATGCTGATCATGATGATGACGCTGCTGCTGATGCTGATGGTGCTGCTGCATGATGATGATAATGCTGATAAGGATGCTGATTGTGGTGATGAAAAGGATGATGTTGATGATGTTGATGATGATAATGCTACTGATGGAGGTGATGGCGATGATGATGGTAATGATGAGAATGGTGGTGGTGGTGATGATGATGATGGTGATGATGCTTATGATGATGATAATGGTAATACCAAGTATGATGCTAATGCTGACTTGTAATGATGTGATTACGCTGAAGATGACCACGAGGATAATTATTTGATGCTGATGACGTCGACGATGCTGATGATGGTGATCATCGTGCGAGCAATGATTATGATGATACGGGTGATTCTGAACAAGATGATGATGACGAGGCTGAGAGGGATAATTGACATTTCCGTCATGCGATGAAGATGGTGATGATGATGATGACGATGCCGATGACGATAATGAGGCTTAGGATTACGATGATGATGAAGACGATGGTGACGATGATGCTGATGACCATGAGGGTGATGATGAAGATGATGACGGCGAGGACGACGATGATTTATGATGCTGTGATGGTACTGATGATGACCACGAGGATGCTGCTGTTGATGTTGATGGCGACGACGCTGCTGCTGATGATGGTGATCATGATAAGAGCAATGAATATACTGATAAGGATGATACCAAGAAAGATGATGATGATGAGGGTCAGGAAGATGATGAATGTTATGGTGATGCGATGAGGGTGGTGACGATCATTATGATGACGATGCCAATGAGGATTATGATTACGATGATGATGACGATGCAGAAGGAGATGCTGATTATGATGGCGATCCTGATGCCGATGACGATGATGGTGATGACAATGGCGATGCTGGTGATGACGGCGACAATGATGATGGTAATGGTGGTGATGATGGTGATGCTGATGCTGATAATGATGATGATGGTGCTGAAAAGGCTGATGCTGCTTATGCTGCTGATGGTGCTGATGATGGTGATGATGGCGACGAAGGAGGGGGCGATGCATATGACGATGATGGTGATGCTGATGATGGCGATGTTGATGGTGATGTTGGCGGTACAGTTCATGATGGTCATGGTGCTACGGATGAGGATGCGGATGGCCAGGTTGATGATGAGCAAGGTGACGGTTCTGATGATGATGATCATGAGTATGGTGGTGGTGGTCGTGATGATGATGAACCTAATGCTGACGATGGTAAGTGTGGTGGTGGCGAAGGTGATGATGATGGTGATGATGAGACCCGCCGTGTTGCATATCCGCCGCGCTGCCTACTCGCCCAGGCAATGCTGTTGATGCTGATGATGTTGCTGACAGGGGGTATGAGGATGGTGAGTATGATGATGATCATGGTGACGTGGAAGGTAAGGCTGACGAGAAACACGCTGATGATGCCGTCACTGCGAGGGATGGTGATGATGATGTTGCAGGTGATGATGAGTATGATGATGATGACGCTGACCATGATGCTGATCATGACGGTGATGGTGCTGTTGAAAATGATGGCGATGATGATGGTGATGGTGATCAGGTTGCTGATTATGATGTCCATGGCCATGAGGACGAAGCTGCCGCTGGCCAGGTTGGCGAAGGCGGGGGGAAGAGATGGGGAGGGAGAGGTGGACGATAAACGATGAGGAGGAGGGGGGGGGCGATTACAGGAGGATGAGGAGAGCGGCGGTGGAACGAGGGGGTGGGGGGGGCGATGTACCAAGCACCCCCATCCACGCGGCTACCCTCCACGGTTGCCCCCCTCGCCAGCCATTTTGGCTTAGGCCGTTTCAGGCCGCATGTCGCGCCATCGCGGCTCGACCCGTTGCCCTCGCCGCACGCCAGCGGCGGGCCCCGCCATCTCCCGTGCCGCTCCCCCTCGCCCAAAAGCCCTCGCTGAGGGACTTGGGCGTCGTGCGCCGCCCTGCCACCCCGCGTGGCGACCGCGGCAAGTTGACGCAGGAGCTGCTCGCATATGTCGAGCGGGTCGGGGCGAAGAGCTCGTTCAACGTAGGTTGGTGCCATCGCTTGACGAAAGACAGGGCCGCCCGCGCGCCTAGCATGACGAAGGACCCTGGCATGGTGGGCCGACGGGGAATTTCGGTTCGCTTTCGAGCGCCACCTGCGATCTCATGATTGGTGATGGCGGTGATGGTGGGAAGGATGGGAAGAAGGAGTAGGGGGAGGAAGAGGAGGAGGAAGGGGGGGGGAGGAGGAGAAGGATGAGGAGGACGCGAAGGAGGGGGCGGATGGGAGGGGGATGGCGAGGCCGACGGGGGGACGGATGGGGAGGGCACGAAGGTGGATGACGAGGCTGCCAGGGGGGCATAGCGGCGAGGGGTGTGAGCTGGGGGAGACGCAGGGAGGGCGATGGGGGGCGATGATGAGGATGGGGAAAGGGGGCGATGCTGGGAAGGAGGAACCGTACGGATAATGAAGAAGCTGACGGGGGACGGGGAATGATGACGATGATGGTGTTGATGGTGATGTGGTGATGATGACTAGTATTACGCTGATGCGGCAGATGATGATGCTGGTACTGATACTGATGATGCTGCTGCTGTTGTTGATGATGATGCTGGTGATGATGGTGCGACTGAGGATGCTGATAATGCGGATGGTCACGCTGACGGTGATTACGGTGGTGATGCTGGTGATCGTGTTGTAAGTGTTGTTGATGGTGGATCTGATGGTGTTGTTGGGTCTGGTGTTGGTGATGGTGACGATGTTGTTGCTGGATTATGATGCTGATGCTGTTGGTGATGTTGTTGATGATGATACTGGTGAGGATGACACCGATGACGGTGATGATGATGATGGTGATGATGACGATGATGATGATGTGGATGGTGATAATGATGCCGATGTTGATGGTGATGATGATGATGTAGCTGGTTATGGTGATGGTGGTGGTAACCATCGCCATCAACATCGCATGTCGGAGGGCACGGGGCCGACGAATGGTGGAAGAGG